GATTTACTGTGGGTCAGACTGTGTTTTCAGCTAACCTGACAGCATCTATACTTTTAAATGTTTTTCAGACAATGAACTTCTGTAAGACTGCCGTAGCCCTAATAAACCCACACAATTAAAATTACCAGTCTAAACCTAGCTTAGCTAAATGGATTGGTTCTAATATAGCACTCTTCTACTTGAGCACTCAAAGCACTTTATGCTATGAGCCTCATTTACACTCGTACAAGCACTTTTATCTATCCCTAAGTGCTTATATGTAACATTCACACATGAATGCCACAGGAACAATTTGGGGTTCACTATCTTGCCCAATGACACTTCGGCATACAGACTGGAGCAGCTGGACTGAACCACCAACCATTTTATTTAGTAGATGATCAGCTCTACTTTCTGACCTACGCTCGACACCCTCTAACTTTCTTTAAATTCTCTATAGTTTGTCTTTTGGATTTGTACTTTGTACGTCTACATTTTTAGTGAGTTCTTGTAGAATTGTTACCTTTGGCAATTTCTTTAGTTCTCTCTGGTATACATTTTGTTTCCACATCATTTTCCCTCTGATCTTATTCTCGTGTTTCTGCTTTGATGTTGTTTATTTGCTATTTTACTTTGGTGGTGCAACATGTCTTGTGCCATGTGTTAAGCGTTATGTCCTCTTCATTGTTTGATTGTCTTCACCTGTCCGTCGTCACCCAGCTGTCTCACATCATTGTGTGTTTGTATACAGATCAAATAAAAAACAGTTGCACTCAAATAGACTAGCTTTGCATGATTCATTGTTCAAAATAATCCATATTTAGACTTGTGGCAGCCCTTTGCTTCATCCTCAGTCTGAAAGAAGCTGCTTCAATTTCTCGCTCGTTAAGTCTGTGTTCAGTTTGAGACAACTTTTTGTGATTGGACGAGCCTCACTAACAAAAGGTTTTAACCTTAGGTGGATTGGGTGGAACTGTCTTCCTGAGATGACCATAAAAGCATTTTATACTCTGGGCTGATCACACAGAGCCAAGAGTATGAAAATCCTTGAAGCCATGCCGCTAACATGGCTAATAATGCTAAACTTTGCTATCGTGGCTCAGCCTGTGTTGTTGTAGAGACTCCATCCTCATGCTGGGATTGTCTGACTGTCAGTTGAAGCCATAACTTCATAGTAGAATAAATCCAAACTTAGTTTTACTGAATAATAATATCAGAGTTTTATTGTTATTTTTTATTGCAGCCTGCTGTCCTCCTGACTGCAGAGCTGCTGGTTTGAGAGGCTTTTAACCTTTTAAATTTCTATCTTTATCTCCTGTCCTGAGTTTGATGGGGCAGGAATGTGTGGGTGAAAGGTCAAGGTGAGGGTCACAGGTCAGAGGTTATGCTAATGTGAGTGTCTTGCTTTTAAACCCTGAGGCGAGAGATTTGTGCGATGTGATTCTGACTATGTGTTTGGTGTTGTTTAACACACAACATGGGAAGAGTTAACCATAAACTAGTTACTGTTTTGGACCAAATATTTTAGAAATACAACTTGTATACTAAGTTGTTGCTCTCTAGTAAAGTTTTCCACTTAATGTTCCTTCTTTCTTCCCTCTCAGTGTTTCCCCTGCTGTTGTCTGACAGCAGAGCCCAGCAGGAGAGGAGGGTCTGTGGTGTTTGACTGACAGCCAAGTGATGAGCACACAGGGAGAGGGTTAAGGGTGAGGGGTCAGAGGTCAGGGTCCTATGGAGAAGAGTTCAACACAAGGGGGACTTGCTAACAAGGTACAATTGCATGAGGGAAAAAGACGTGAAAAGCACCCTGAAAACAAAACAAGGGGATATCAGGGCGACGGAGCCACTGTGACAGCAAATTCTGGCCCACTCTTCTTTACAGTTCATTCTGGATTGAGATTCTGCTGTATTTGGGATCATTGTCCTGTTGCATGACACAGCCTTGGCCAAACTTTAGGAGTTCATGGTCGACTCAGTGACTGAGTGAAGTTAAAAGGCTGAGTACATATTGCAAGTACTTTAACAACCAAGCGAAGAAGACCATGGCATGTGGTTAACAGTTCTGCAATGAACTAGTCAGTGACCTTTAATTCAGAAGCTTTATAAAAGAAGGGTTGAATTAACTGCTGTTACAGACATTTTTATATATATTCTCCATTTTTTTAGACTTTGCCTCAATGTAAAATGCACTCTAGTGGCGTACAGAACATGTAAAGTCAGAGAGCTCGCCACAAAACAAAGCAGACAGGAACAACACGAGAGGAGGGTTGGAGATGGAGGTGGAGGTGATGCAGAGTGCAGAAACTCTGCATTTGAATGAGAGTTAACAGGTGGTAAAGGGTGTCAGCTTAGCCATCAGCAGATGTGAATTGAGTTGGTCTGACTTTGTGGCCTGCTCGATCCATTACCACTTCCACAGGGTCACTCCAGGCAAACTGTATGCAACACTGGAGATGTGCCCCTCAGAAGCTTTATATGTCAAAGATGAACCTCTGAACATCATTGCTTTTTTAATCAGCGGAGCCTCGAAGGGCATCAGTAGTCCAGGTCAGCATGTAGACATCTGCAGTGCTTTGAAAAAAAAAAAAACGTTCTGCCTTTGTGTTATTGGACGGCACAGCTAGCTTAAAAGCTCGTGTGTTTCCAATCTGTGCTGCCCTCATCTTATTTACTTTACCTTCCTCTCTATTAATTTATATACAGTGCTTTTTCCTGGCTCAGAATGGGCTTTTGGGTGGATGAATGACCACACTTTCACCCTCCTCTTTTTATTGACTTGATAATAGGCTTTGACAAGGCCACGGTAGTCAATATCATCAGCTTTCATTTTTATCCTAAGTTCTTGGTGTTTCCAAAGCTGGTGATTTTACTTTAAACGCTGGTCTAAAGCTTTTCTGGGGAATCCAAAACAAACCAGGAAAAACTCCTGATGTAAGATTATAAAATAGTACTTTACATGCTCCTTAGTATGAAACAGCGTACCCTCTATCTACAGCTTGAAAATGTCTGAAGTCATTTAAAAAGAGTGTCTCTGATAATTTTCCTTACATTGAGTGAATTTATAAAATCTTATGTGAGTACAATTTTATATGATGTGTATTTATGTAGATAATTCATACTTTTTATTATAATTATATAAGCTATAATAAGCTGTGTGAAGCTCTTCCATCTTTACTGGTTATCAGCTGCAGGTCTGGCTGCCAAACATCCCCTGGGAGAGTGGACAGAAATACATAATGAGAGTAAAAAAATAATAAAAGTATAAAAAATATACACATATAAAAGTTGCAAAGGAGAAGCTTTGTCATTTGATCGATTTCTTAGTGTGGAGGTCGGTGGCTTTCTGCCTTATGAGGCTTATGAGTCATTTACATGACTCATAACTTCCAGAGTGTTGTTTACTTGGTTCATTGGATTGTTTAGAGATGAGGAAAATTAAGACAGTATTTGATACTCATTTGGAAAGTGGGAGGACAAAAATGGAAGTTTTGGGATTTATTTTTCACAGTACTTTAAAAGCATGCTTATTATAGTTAATAAATTTTTTGAAAAACTCAAGTAATTTGCAGAAATAAAAGACTCATTAAAAAAACCTAAGGAATGTGTTTAATTAATTACTTTTTTTTTTTAATTTAATAACACAAGACATATCATAAGTAAAAGGAAAAATAGAAGAGGATGTGACCTTTGATCTGGGGATGAAGCAAGCCTATCAGACGTGCACGAGCACACGCTTGACTCAGTCACGTGGGGCCTGCAGCACCAATTTGGGAAAGAAGATAATAGTAATTGTGAATTGTGCCATCACTTGCAGTGTTAAACTATCGCCACTAGATGTCAGTCTGAACCAACATTTAAACTATCTCTACCCTTCCTTCAGTCTTTCTTCTTACACACACGCGCACGAATGCACACTAGTCATACTCATACAAAGCATATAGCTCCCTTCAGCCAATCAGCGCTTTCTTCTGTTTTTAGGTCTACACATCTCCACTCATTGCCGAGCTGGCGTGTGGACCCGCTCTCACCAGCAGGGGGCGCCGCCCCCGTGAGCTCGCACGGGCTGTCTGCCTCAGCGTGAGTCTGGTCTTTACTACACACACACACATACACACACACAGAGCAGAGGATTATGTAATGTTTACTATTATGCCACTATATCTTTTGTAAAGCAGCCGCATTTGCCTTCCTCTGTGCGAAGGTCAAAGGTCACAGAGAATGTGCCATGCTTCAAAGTGATGGCACGTGCTATCATCTCAAACATCTTTCAGTGCTCGGTGCACAGGTTCATCTCCACCACCAGCATCACTGTCACCATTACCACCACCACCACTGCCTGCAAAGTTGCAAACACGGGGTTAGCCGAGTTTACGCCAGTCCACGCCCCCACAGTCCAGCTGGTGGCAACACTCGTGATGACTTCACCGCCGCGCGCGACCATTGGCCCCGAGACGCCGCGCACCTGTCCAATAGACTGCCGGTGAAGTGACGTCAGCCTGTACTAGTCCCGTTCACTTTAACAGTAGTGGGCAGGGCGGAGAGGGTGCCGACGTCAGAAGCCGCGCTGTGATTGGCTGAGGGCGCTGAAAGTGAGCGTCTGTTGCTGAGAGAAAAAGGGAGAGCGGTTTGCGTCGGCTGCGCCACACAAACATCTGAGCAGCTCCTAAACTAACTTTCTGAAAACCGCGCACTGGTTTTCTGTGCTCCTTCGTTTTCACTCTTTGTGAGCAGCGATGACATAATAATGATAATTAAAGGCGAAAAAATACATTTTCGATGTGGGACCAACAGCGAGAGTAAAGCCGCGCTGAGGCGCTACTTTCCCGCTGCACCACACTGTTTGTGGATGAGCACAAACAGTTGATGCATTATCACCGTCTGCTCGGGGATGGCACTTGTGCTGTCAATTATGGTAAACATACTCCTTTTCAGAAGGGGAGGGGGCATTTGTGCCTTTCTATTGGCTCTGGGTCATTTGATCCCTCCTCTCGGCCCGCCCACATGCTGTTCCTATGGTTCCCAATCCTCTTATTGGATACTGTAAAGTTTGGGACAGGACACCGGTCTAGCTCAGCATCCACTTCACTATTCGCTAGTCTCCCCAGTCCGTCAAGTGGACTTTGACAGGCCGCCACACCCACTGATCTCTGGCGCCGATGCTGACTGGCTACTGTACCTGTCAACGACCTCTCATTGGTCGGCTTGCCCAGCTGTTAGTGGTTCATTCACCATTTTGTGACTGTAGTGGAAAAGAAGAGCGATAGTTTTTTATATCCTTGTTTGAGTTTCTGTGGGGGAAAGACATGTTTTGCGGAGGAAAAGTAAAGAGTGAGTCCGGCCCGCACAGCCACCACAGCCGACAGCCGAGGGATGTTACCATGAGTTACGCGAACCTCCTCATCGGCAAAATAAGACCATAAATCTTTCTCTGGCCAGTGGTGAAAAGCTCTGTTTGGGTGAGTTGAAACTAAGTTGGCACACGGCAGTGAAGCTAAACTGACTTAAATTTTCCATTTTCAGGAGCTGCGAGTTACCACGACGCGAGAGCCAACTGCCAACGGTCGGTCGTTCGGTTGTTCCGCTACCGTGTGAAGAAATGGAGTGACAACGCGAGGAAGTATCGAGAGAAAGGGGAGGGGTGTGGGGGGGTGTAACAGCCTAAAAACTTTCTGAAATGTTTTTACCGCAGTCCCACGGACACCCACGGAACATTTCAGCTCCGTTAAAACGGCGAGGTTAGTGTGGAGTACTTTTTCCTTCCTTCCCTTAGTTTACGAGTTTTGCGTGGAGCAGCGCTAGCGTAGTAAAAAAAAAAGAAGAGAGAGCGAGAAAGGAAAAACAACCGACCTATTTGCGGCACTGCAGCCCAAATGTTTACTAACAGGCTCGCTCGGTGTTAAAAAAGCGCACTTTAGGAGGAAACGGATAACACCTACAGAGCGAATTGCACCCAGTTTTCCTGCGCTCTGACTCACGGTGTCATTATTTGGGTGCTGTATCCGCTACCGTTTGCGTACTACCACTACTACAACCACCACTACTACTAACGTTACTGAGCTGCTTACTAGAGCGAAACACCAAGACGAAAAAGATTCTGCTTCATTTATTTTTTCCCAAGTTTTTTTTTTAAATTAGAGTGACTGGCACCATTAAAAGGAAGCCTCCCCCGGAGTGGATACGTGCACTCCAGGCGTTGTAGTGAGTATTTGCATGCCAAGAATCGCTGTATAAGGAAGACTTGGGACCGTCTATAAGGGGACAATAAAGCGTCACTTGAAACCGGTTGTTTGTGTTTGTTACCGAGGACCGTGCAGCACGGCAGACCGCCTGACTGTCTCGAGTCATAATACTCCTTTGACATTGTGTAGTACTCTCAGAGATCAGCTAAAAAAAAAAAGATGCACACCGTGTTTTCTCGTCTCTTCCATCGCCAACACTACACTTTTTTCTTTTTTTGCACAGCAATCCTGCAATCAGTGTCGATGCAACCTTGACATCTCTGACTAGGCAGTTTTTAACAGTTGTGTCATGTTTGTCTTTAGGTATTTTTTCAGTGGCAGGAATTGTTTTTACATTTTAGGTTCAGATTTCCTCTTTTTTTTTTTTATTAATTGTTGCACTTGTGTGGCCATGGTGCTGTATAGCTTGTTGAGCTGTTGGCCATTGATATGGCATTGGCAGTTCTGCCATTTGGTTCCAAACAGGAACAGTCGCTGTGATCTATGCTCCAACCTTCCTTGCTGATCAATACGAGCCAGGATGCACAAATTTCAGCTCTCGTTGTTTCTTCTTTATTAGTCAGATATGTCATCCGCTAAACAGCTGCCGGTATTCATGCTACCTCACAATGGATGCGTCTGTATATAACGCACACACACACACACACTTAAAATACCCTAACAACATATTTTTCTTTCTGTGTCAGTTGTCTGTTAAATCACTTCCCACATACTCATGAGCTCACAAACCACAGCATGAGTGTGCATAGCAGCAGAGAGATTTATCTTCTTTTCTTTTTTTAATGTATTTTTTTTGGTGCTGTTTCATGTGAGACTGTGTTCTCCCCGGTGACCCAGTTAAGGGCAAAGGCTCCCTAACACGCTGAAGTGTACGAGGGCCACGGCACACTTCAGTATCATCATCACACGTTCCTCCTTCTCCCGCGTATGTCCCCGTCACTGCAGCCCCTGCGCCCGTACAGACACCCATAAAATGCTTTGAGGAGAGGGATGAGCTGCAGTATGTGTGTGTGTGTGTGTGTGCGCACGCGCCTGCTAACTACGTACACTCATACTGACATACGGTGCAAACGCAGTGCTGAACAAGGTGGACTCAACCTGAAGACCGCTGTATAAACTCTGACATTAGTGTAGTGTAAGTAGCTCTAATGCCACATGTCACATACACACACGTTTTGCGCCACATTGTGTTGGGGCATAGGCTAAATTCTCTACGACTGACCGAAATAAACTGGCATCAAGGCAGATGTTTATTAGGGTTTTATATTCCAGTAATAAACACTGTACAACTCATTTTATTTTGTAGTGTTGACACTGAGATGATGTCGACAAATGCCTTGTGTGTGTGTGTGTGTGCGTGTGAAATGGGTTCTTGGTAGCACCTATGTGTAAACTGTTCACTAAATTTTCTCCTTGCAAAAAAAAGTGAAGAATTTTCATCTCCAAATTCATTTCGTAAAAGCCTATTTATCCTTATTGTTGTTGTTTTTTCCCCCCCTCCTGCATACGTCAGTGTGGATGAGTGCTTGTACGACACAGTGACTGTGTGACAATATATATAGGTCCAAGGGAGATTTTAACAGGGTATGCATGACTGCACGGTGAATTCCTGAGAGAGCATTTAATGTGTGTGCGTAAAGTTTGGAGGAGGGGTGCATTATGGGCTCCTGTGTGTTTATTGGGAGAAACAGCAGCTTTTTGCAGTTTAAAGAGGAGTCCAGTCCAGCGCCGTGGAGACGCTGATTATCTGTCTGTTCAAGATTTACAGCAGCTTTAGATCAGACCAGCACATATTCTGCTATTAACCTGCTCTAACGCTGGAAGGTGGAGACCTCTTGAATTACCTAAATTATGACCGAGCTTCTCTCTCCGCTTCACCCAGATTGTCCTAATTTTTTGATTAACAATTCATGTTGAAAAGCAACACCCAGGAGGGGATGTTCTGAGTTTCTGGACATGTTTTTTTGGTATTGTGATAGTCTCTAGTAAACAACAAGAGTTAAAGGTCTGCCGTTATTTTCAGGTTAGGGGGTGCACGGCTGAGCGCGCAGTGTGTATGATGCTTTTGATCTTTCAGCAAGGGATTAGGACATGTGAAACGTTCTTTTTCATTTATTTATGTGGTAACACAGGAATTATAGATGCGTCGTGCATAAATGTATATATTCCTTTTACAAATAAAATCATAGTTCAACATATCTGTGGTGTCTTTAGCAACATTTTCGTGTCAGCTGGAAATTTCAAATAAGATTTTGTGGAGTACAAGCATGCTTGAAGAATTTAACCCAATGATAAATAAATACACCCGTTGCAAACTTGCACCAAATATCTAACTCTTATGTCCCACGCTGAAACTCCTCTTCACTGCACATAATCTGCTCAGCTGTAGAGTCCCTTAAAAGTTACAGAATGTGAATACACACACATGCTTGCCACTGTCTTATCAGCCAAAGCCTAAAGCATTTTGGAGGGCCATTAGCATGACCAAACGCATTTTTCTGAGCTAAGATCAGATCCTCTCGAGTCATTTACCCAACTAGTCAGTCAGCCATTTGGCCCTCAGTCCTTCCTGTCTTTTCCAGTACTCCAGAGTATCTGTACTGGACCAGCATTCCCAGTCTAGGCATCCGTGTCTAGTCTAATAAAGGGCAAACTTGGCCTGGGAAGGAACATTCCAGCAGTCTGAGATTTTTTCTTTTTCTGGGATGAATGTTCTTTTAAATTAAAAATTAAAAATGACAAAGAGCTTTTTAGTAATTAGGGAGTGAGTAATGTATGTTTGCTTATACCGCCTTTTATTAGGTTTTGTTTCTGGTGTGTAGTGCACAGTATTTTTGATAAATAAGGTGCATTAATTTCCCTTTGAAGCTGTCAAAGATCGGGATACGTTTACTCTGAAAACATCGAAGAAGTCTGGAAACATTTAATTTAAGGATAAAATAAACAGTGCTCGACTTCTTTTACATACACTTAGGAAGAGTTTTGTAGTTGATGGTAAATACAGTATGCAAAGATATAAATAGAGTGATGTACTCAATCTGCATCTGCAGGAAGCCTCGCAGTTACAGTCCATGTGTTAACCTTCACACGTGGCACCCTTGCAGTGAAATAACCAACGTCAGTATCAGCATTTACAGAGGGAATTATGAAGATGTGATTATTTCACTTCTGTCCATCGATATGCAACATAATTACGAGAATGTGGAGTAAATGGAAATTAAAGCCTGTTTGTACAATAAATAATGTTTTGTGTTGAGGGCAGAGGTCCAAATGCAGAGTCAGTGATGAGTGTGTGAAAGACTCAAGTTGTTTATTAGTCATTCAGGAAGAGATGCTTTTCTGCGCTGCAGGAAGTGGAACTGGTGTGTGTCATATTGGGTGTTGTTTTGGCAAACAGATAGTTAACAACAAAGGTCACCTTATTTGTGTGTGTGTGTGTGTGTGTGTGTGTGTGTGTGTGTGTGTGTGTGTGAGTGTGAGAGAGAGAGAGAGTAACAAACTTTTCCAGCATCTAGCACAGGAAGCCTGAATGTGTATGTGTAAGTTTATATCTATTTGTGTGAATTCAGGCATTTGGTCATGTTTGTGAGCTGCTGAGCTTGATCGAGAGGAGCACATATACGCACGTCTGCGTACGAGTGTGTGTGAGACTGTTTGTGCGTGCCATTGTATTTAGCCTGTAATCTTGCATCAGTGAGTGTGCCTGATCCTGTGCCAGCCTTTTAATTTCTCTCATTTTGGGCATATCTTGCCATGGCAGATTATTCCAATTAAATTGTCTTTTTGTACAAATGTGTGTGTGTGTGTGTGTGTGTGTGAGTATCAGTGTGACATTGACAAAAGACGACTGTGAAAGACTGAGACATCGAGAAAGAGGGAGAGGGGAGAGAAAAAGAGAGGGGGGGCCAGCGAGTGCTAGAATGACAGTGGAAATTCCCAGTGACTATACAAGAACGGCCTATCTGAGCAAACATCCTAAGAGCCACATGCTCCAGCCTCTTTCTCTCTTTCATGTTGTTGGGTGACCTCACGCAGGCCACTGCCAGGCTTCTAGCTCCCGATGGAAGTCAGGAAAAATAAATGCTCGTTCCCAAGTTGATCACATGGCATCAAGTCTGTAACACTTGTCGTGAGAAAGCGGCCCCGTCGCACGTCGAAGTAGCTGAAGCGAGTATAGCAGAGATCTGTGTGCGACTCGAGTGCATTTATGTGTGCATTTAAAATTGACGAGATGAAGGCCTCATTGAAGACTTGTTCCTTCTTTTTTCTTTCTTTCTTTCTTTGCTGACCTTTTCTTTTAAATCACGCTCACTCAGACCTAACCAGAGTAAACATAGCTCTCAGACATGCTTGACCAGGATTACCTAGGCAGCGATCGCTCATAATCATCACAGTTTAAATCAGCTGGTATCATTAGTAATAAGCTAACTATTAAAAGGTCTTGAGAAGAATAAAAAGAGTGTTTGAGTAGGATTCAGACTGTTTTTGTTTGAGATGCCCTTCGAGTTTATATGTGTGTGTGTATATAAACCCCCTGATGAAGTCTTATCCTGGAGTTTTTTAGGTTAAATATGCCCATCCTGTGAGAGTAAAGGCATTTACAGAGACTGCCTTGGAGTGCTTTGATTATTAGTCTATAGGAGATTATTGATATTTAAAACAAAATCCACCATGTCCTTCATTTTAGTTGTTTTGAAATGTTGTCATTAATGTTATAATCGAGATTTTGTGTTTTGAGTGCACACACTCTGCAGGGATGTGGTGATATGTCGTCCTAAAATAACTAACGCTGTATCGGCAAAAAGATGACATTTACCGATGTCAGTGGCCGATGTTGTGTCACTGAGCTCACTTGTCACATCTGTATTCTGTTGAATAAATGTTCAAAGATAATATGATGATAAGCAGCTATTTATTTATAATTAAAATGCCTTTGTTCCTCTTTTGAGGTAATAAATATCAAAAACACAATACACAAAAAGAAGACAAATATTTTTTATCAGCTGCCATACAAACTGTTATCTAAATCTTTGGTATCGGCCCACAGTTTTAGAAAACAGTGCATCCTTAAACTCTCGTTTATACACGTACGCTTTATGGACCAAAGTACGCCTACACATCAGGGCCCATTAATGCTCGACGTTGTTGCCCTCGCAAACAGAGCTGGACCACAAAAGTGACGTCACGTTGGTGTCATTTCAGCCGGTCCTGCACTTCTTGATTTTTACATTTTTTTGAAAGCCTTGTTGTCATCGAGTCAGCGCAGTGTTGGTGACTTTTACGCACAATGCACCTCAGCACTTGCCAACCCTGCTCTGTACCTTTGCAAGAATACCACCTAACATTTAATGTCAAATTATCTACGAGGAAGAAATTTCATGAGCTGACCGGTTACAGTGCCCATCTTTTTGAGTTTATACACCTGTGGTAGCAGGAAAACCTGATTCCAGATTAAGATTAAGTACTTTTGTCCTTGTTGTTTATGTAGTTTATCTCGAATCAGGCATAAACTAGGAGAGTGAACAGACTTCAGATATTGAGCCAATGTGATAGCCAACATACTCTTAATCGTCATTTTTGTTCTCTGCACTTCTTGGTTATGAATATAATAAATGACCACTTGTCTTCTGCACCTCTTTTTTCTTTTCAGATTCCAGTACAGAGGGAACAGAAAAAACGTGCAAAAGAAAAAGTGTTGGAAAACAAGGAGTGCTTTGGAAGTAGAAAAAAAAGGAAACGCCGTGCAATCTGCAGGACTTGGTGAGCAGTGAAGAAAAGATGAGGCCATTAAAGAAACACAGAGGGCGTTCTCCCCCGTTAACTAGAGGCAGAGGGGGGAGGAGGAGAGGGGGCTCTCAGCCTCCCCAAGAAAAGGACCCCAGAAGAGTCAAGAGGGAGACTCTTGTCAAAACCACACAAAGCACCCCTTCCAAACGCAAACACGGCCAACCCAACTCTGACAAGGAACCAATCACAAATAGCAATACCCCCATGAGGGAGGAGCCTACTGAACTGAGGAAACCTGTGGAGTCAGCTGAGAATGGTGGAAAGCAAGCAGAAGAAAAGACAGAAAAGGAGAAGATAGCGGGCACAAATGGAAACAGTACTATGCCCGCTGATTCTGTAGCATTTCCTACCTCTGCCCCAGCGCCACTCACCACAGCTACACCCTCTATAGCCACCAGTCACAGCCCCAGTTTAGGCTCAGTTTCTAGTAGGAAAACAGCCACGTTTAAGGCTCGTGTACCCAAAAAAAAATACACATATGAGCACTTTGCCAACAGTGCAAGTGTTACATCTACCATTCCTACCTCCAGCCCTGCTCTCGTAAATAACAGTTACTGCAATATCAGCAGCAAAGTTAGTGATAGTGTTAATAGTCCCAATAACCATTTCAAGACTAGTAACAGTGTTAGTAATAGCATTAATAAAAGCACTAACAGTAGTACTAATAGTAACGCTACAAGTGGTATTAATAACATGAGCAGTAACAGTTGTGATGGGAGCCATACTACTTTTATCAATAGCAGTAATAGCATAAGTAACAGTTGCTCAGGTAATCAGCCATCAGTGCTAACTGTGGACAGTAAAGCTACAGAAGCAAACCATTTTGTCTCCATGGAGGATAAAACCCTCAGGACAGCAGATTCCCAGGAAAAAGCGTCCCAGTCTGGGGAAAATGAGCCTGAGGGGGCCCCGAACTCTGTGCGCTCCTCCTCCACGGATACAGCTAGTGAGCACTCGGCTGACCTGGATGTGATGGAAGCATCAGGACCAAGTCTTCATCAGAAGAACTACCACATCCCAGCTCCTCTACACAACTCACACCCTAAAGAGCCCAATCTGTCAGAGGGGCTAGCTGAAGCTCTGGCCAAAGGCATGAAGAACCAGAGAGTCCTGGCTCGCTGTGTCACAAGCGGTGGTGAGGCTACGAATAGTGGACACTCACGCCCCCCGTCACATATTTTTAGACCAGGGGTGGTGCGTAGGGTGTGTGGGGGTACTGTCGAAGTTCAGCTCCAAGGAGAGGAGACCCTTGTAAAATATCCATTTCATAGTGGAAGTACAATGACGTCGTCAGGGACTGAGAGCACTGTGGATTTTATTTTAGATGCCCCCCCACCTGGCATGACACCTGTAGCTGTTGGGACCCAAGTGTGTGTTCCGTTTGGTGGGGAGGAAGGAGAATCTCTGTTGTACAGAGAGGGGATTGTTACTGAGGTGGACCCACACCCTGGTGTCTCATTTCCTTACCAGGTGCTCCTGAGTGAAAAAAAAGAAACTCTGGGTGGAGGGGCAATAGAGGAGAAAGAGAAAAGGAGCACAAGCAGCCAGGCTGTGTGGGTGTCCCGACAGAGCCTGAGATTACTCACTCCTCCTTGGGAGGTCTCACATTTAGATGGTGGGAGAGCAAAGGAGAGAGAGCGGGAGAGAGAACGGGAAGAGAGACAGCGGCGGGAGGAGATGGAGGTCGAGAGAGAGGTTTGCCAGCTGAGTATTGGAATGGGAGTGTTGGGAGGTGGAGTAAGGCTGGGTCATAGTTTTTCACATGGCGGGGTTATAGGAGGACATAACTATGGAACCGTACATCCACCCACAAATTCCTCCACTGGGACTTCTAGTGCCGTTACCAGCACAGGTCACGGATGCAGCGATAATTACTCTGATCGAGAAAGACAGAAAGAGCCAAACACACCAGAAGAAGATGTTGAGGTGTCTCGTTTTACACACACCGTTAGTCATAAGACAAATCCTGCAACCTCTCAGCACAACAGCATCCTCTGCAAGTCCAGCAGCTATCCTCCCTCCTCCCCCCACCTCTCTGTGGTGAGAAGCTTGGGACCCCCACACCTCTCCACTGTAGCTAGTCCTCAGCCAACTCCATCCCCAGCCTTACTGGGGTCTGAAATGAACAACACCACTTTAAACCTACCTCCATCCAAAACCACTCCTACTCAGACCCTTACTCCTACTTCTGGTGGGGGGTCCTCCTCTACCTCCTCGCGCTCAAGGACGCCCCTTTCATTGGCTCAGCAGAAATACAAAAAGGGTGATGTTGTCTGCACACCTAATGGTATCCGTAAGAAGTTCAATGGTAAGCAGTGGAGGAGGCTGTGCTCCAGGGAGGGTTGTATGAAGGAGTCTCAGCGCCGAGGATACTGCTCTAGACACCTGTCCATGAGGACCAAAGAGATGGAGGCTGCAGGTGCAGAGAGGGGAGGAGGAGGAGGCAGCAGCTCAGGGACAGTCACCCCTTCTGACCTCCGGGGAAGAGCAAGCAGTGAGTTTGAGTGGGACGACACATCAAGAGAGAGCAGTGAGGCCAGCAGCAGAGGAGACTCCAGACCCCGACTGGTCCTCCCCTCCCTCCTCCCTCATGACCTGTCGTCACGGTTTGACTTTGATGAGTGTGAGGCTGCCACCATGCTGGTGTCATTAGGAAGCTCCCGCTCTGGCACCCCCTCCTTTTCTCCCATCTCCAACCAGTCACCCTTTTCCCCTGCCCCCTCTCCCTCGCCCTCTCCACTGTTCGGTTTCAGGCCGGCCAACTTCTCCCCGATTACGGCATCCCCGGTCTTGCAACATCGGAGGCACAGACAGCCCAGTGGCACAGGGGGAGGAGGGGGAGGGGGCAGTAAGGCATCATCCACATCTGGAGGAGAAAGGGAGAGACACACTTCAGGCGTCCAACCCACCTTACAGAGTAACCTTACGTTTACAGTCCCCATGAGCCCCAGTAAGCGAAAGCCAGATGCACCTCTTCCACCACCCTTGCCCTCACATCACCATGATTACACACCCAAAACAGAGCTGGATCCTGGCGACCATAACAGCTCTTTCAGAGTGCTGTCACCCCAAACGCCAGCTTTGCATTCCCGCACACACACTCCCACCTTCTCCCGACCCAGAGGAGTGACCACTCCCTCCTCCAGCAGGCCCCCTTCTTCCACTGCTGTCTCCCCTCCTCCTCTTCTGGTGTCCCCAACTCCTCCTTCTCCTCTCACTACTGACGGAGGGCCTCGTCGTGTGGTCCCTGTTTCCCAACAGGCCTTGCGGGACTCTCCTGTTATTGTGAGGAATCCCGAAGTCCCACTGGCAAAATTTACAGAGTGTCCCCTGGGAAGAGGAGGAGTAGGTGGTGTTGGAAATGAGGGAGGGAAGGAAAACAGTTTGTCTAAAGACATCACCCAAACCCACCTGACTCCTCAGCCAGTTTCTGGCCTCCAGGTTCCTGTCCCAATTAACGCTGCTGCAGCCGCAGTACCTAATGGCACTGTCCTCTTACGGAGCCCAGCCCAAACTCTGGTGCTCGTGTCCCCAACACCTTCCTCCTTGCCCACCGCTGACACCCCTGCTACTGCGCTGCAGGCCCTGTCAGTTACTGTCAGCACAACGGTCACAGTTCCTGCTCCAAGTAGCACGGACAGCTGTGGGGAACGAGAAGAGAACAGGGGCGCAGGGTTTGGTGGTGAGGTCCAGCAGCCAGTTCCCTGTCACCCTTCCCCCACAGCTCTGCTGCCCCTGATCCTGCCAGCGGAAAGTCTTCACCCCGTCCCACGCAAGGACATCATCATGGGACGTCCAGGCACAGGTGAGAATTGGCGCAGATGTGTGGGTGTATTTTGTGTGTGAGGGAATAAGAAAAAGTAAGGGAAAGAGACATAAACTGCAAAATGCAGTTATTTCAACAATAGGAGGAAAAGAGATATGCGGATTAAATATGTTAATATTATCATTTAAGTTCAAGTCAATCATAAAGATACAGATTTATAGATTATTATTCAGTGAAAATAAACTGAAAAATGTTGTTTTATACTTTCTGCATGTTTCAAAATTCAAAGGTTAAGAGTTTAGACTTTCTTTAAAGGATATGTTGTGGTTTTCTAAATACAAATCACTTGAGTTAAACTTTATTCCAGCTTGATTCATATAATTCCTTCTCTGTATTTACAGTAAGAAAATTAACAAAATAGTATCCTATAGTTTTATTTTACTTAACAACCTTAGTATGATTTTTTTTTCTTGCAACCCTAGTATTGTGATGAACTCTCAAAGCATAATTAGCACCATTTAGTTTAAATTTGTTTACACATTTTCAGTAAAATTATAATTTTTTCTAATTCTCTCACTCTTTAAAAGGTATTCTTTTTAATCTGTGTGATTCTGTAGCATCAGTTGCTGACACACACAGAAAACGTGTCGGCTGTGAATGGCCAGAGATGTGTTGTATACTGACGTTGAACCAGCATTTTGCAACCAGAACCCAATAATTATTTCACACAGAAAATGAGACTTGCAGTGATTGTGAAGCTAAATCTTGTGAAAAGTGATGATAGAATTTTTTTTGCATTATCTAGAATTCAGCTGAAACTGCTGCAAACACACACGCTCTCTCTTTCTCTCTCTCTCTCTCTCTCTCTCTCACACACACACACACTGATTGAGATACATTTATTTAAAATCTGTAATTCCAAAATTACATTCGTCTGTCAATTCTAATAGTAAATTGAAAGGAAATAGCTTTGTATTTTGTATGTGTCTCTTCCTGTATATGTACGATGTATATGCATATATAATCTATTTTTTCTATTTCGTTCATCTGAACAATCATCCATAAATCGATCATATTTCTTTTGAACAATGCTGCATAATGTTTTTCTGGTTTATATCATAACGTCCCACTCTCATAATCTGAGAGCAGATGACTGCCATGGTGCATTAGAGGGTTAGATTCACATGGACGTGCCACGACCTGGGTGTGCTGCTGCCCAGTGAAAGGAGCTCCTGTTAGCCATCATGCTGTTGTCCCATATGGCTATCTCGATTTGTCTGTCCACCATCCTCACTTCTGCTGGTAACACTAAACTAAGTGCTAAAGCTGGTCACATGATCCGTGTAAGCTCTGGAGCGAGCACATATGAAACACCAGGTCAGGACTAGACTTGTTCCAGGAGTCACTGCTGATGGCTATAAATTCACTACGGTCACTAAAATCACTAGTCAGCACTCAGTGCAGGTAATGAACTCTGATCCTTTGTGGTACCTCTAAGCAAAGGGAGTTTGGTGTATTTTCTAGCGTGTTTTACATGCTGTATGATAATTGCATGTTGCACACAGACATTGTTATGAGAATAGGGAAATTAGCAAAAACAATATTTAAATTGTTCTTGGTTTGGATTTTGCTTGCAAATGCGAATAGGGCAAAAATAATTTCTGTGTGCTAATGTTAGAAAAATGCAAAAGAAGCTCATGGACACATGTGGTTCGCTGTTCTTGTGAGGTCTATAAGGAATAAACTCTATGTCATACAGGATTAGTGTGGTTTGTACCAGAAAGTGTTATATTCCCAGTCATAGACAGAAACTTTAAGTTATACCTCGCTAAAGCCAGGATACAGCACAACAGCACTGATTTGTTTGATTAAAAAGGTATACAAAAGAACAGGGAGAAATAAATGTTGTCACAAGCTGCACACGACATTAACAATTAAAAGCGGGTATGGAGCATGTGGGCTCGATGAGCAGTATGTAGGCCAGTCATAGACTCTTTCCCCCAACTTGTCTTTTATTTAGTCTTTTAAAAAGAGAGAATGAGAATGAAGGAGGCCTCAGTAAAGACGGCAGAATCCTTTTTTTTTTAAAAAGCTCAACTGAAATGCATGTTTTGTCTAATTGTTTCTCCTGTTTATTTTTATGAAAAACTCTGACCATTGTGCTTATTATAAGTGCACGTGTGATGTTGACTTCCTGACCCCAGCAGCTGTTATTCTAACTCACTACAAACTATTTCCACTAGCTCTTGCTGTGTGTATGTCCATGCGCTTGTTTGTTTAACAGTGACTCATGTAACAGTATAGCGAAACAAAGTGCAAGCAGCTTTTTTGGACAGGAGTACTGAGGTGGCTCGACTCTAATGTGTGTAGGATATACTCTGTAATTTTCAGTATGTTGTGTGGGAATATTATGGCGTATTATGGAGTACGTGTGTGTGCATACGTGTATGAGAAAGCATTATTCATCAGCTGTTGAAACTAAAAGCCTACTTTTCCGTTGTGTTATATATGGACACGTACTATCAGTAAGAGTAATTCACTTCACCGGGGCCTCTTGCCCTCACCACTGTTCAGACCTTCAGGAGTGTGACAGAGAAGTGGACAGGGAAGGGAGCGCTGTCATTTTGAGTGTACGGTTCGTCCTCAGATCCCCTTTTTTGCAGCTGAAGGGACGCCGGATGAATGAATAGGCTCTCTTTGTGTGAGTGCACGCACACTCGGCTGTGTGCGCGCGAGGATGTTTTCTGTAGAGTCAGAAAGGGTGTGTGAGCTTTTGCATATGGCCGTAGGAGAGTGTGAAATACAACAGGGAAAAAAGGTGCGCGTTTATGTGTGTGTGTGTGTGTGTGTGTGTGCACGCAATCACACATTTTGCGTGTTTATAATTTGCAAGTACATGTAGGTGTTAGTGTATTCTCATCAGCTTGGAGAATACGAGCAGTTGGTGGAGTTTTTCAGATAATTTTAAATATTGTTTTGTGAATTTGTTATTATTAAAAAGGTGTCGGATAATTTTCCTGTTTTGGAGTCATGGGGAATTGTTTCACAAACGCTAACAGGCACTCTAAACCCTTTGAAAATAAATAATGTTGATACTCTTCAGCTTCTACTATATTAGCATGATAAGTATGTGAGTATTTGGGTGATAGTATTAGCAATGATGTGGAGTATCAGTATTGTTATAAATTAGCTTGTATTTATAGCAAACCATACTCACACCTGTTAATAAGGTGGCGGAAACATCCTCACTGAAATCCTCATCCTTATCGAAATTCTCATAGATGGGTTACTAACTCAGCAGTGACAACATGTTACAACTGTTTCACGCCCTGAAATGTTTTAGGCCATTAAAAGAAAATAATATGTTAAAAGCTACAGAAGGTTAAAAAAACTTTAGATTAGGACTGAACTAAAATTTTGCACCGTAAAAAAAGAAAAATCCTAAAAAAACAGTAACATTCCGGCAGCTGGGGTGCCAAAATAATACCATAAAATAACAGAAAATAACTTTCTCATGAAAATACGGTTATTTTCAGTAATGACAACACAGTTTGTTGCTCTAATTTTACATGGGATTTTGCCTTTTTCAAGTGCTTTTAAGCATTAAATTAGGAACATTTTAATATGATTAAACAATGAAATTACCTATAAACAAGGTCAATGAATGCGGCAATATGAATAATAATACTTAAATGTACAGAAATATACAGTTAACAGTTGGTTTAAATAGTAATGGATTGCATTCATATAGCGCTTTTTGAGACCCTCAAAGCACTTTACAATTCCACTTTATAATTCCCCTCTGGCCATCACCAGTAGGTGGTAGGTGAAGTGTCTTGCCCAAGGACACAACGACCGAGAGTGTCCGAGCCAGGGCTCGAACCGGCAACCTTCTGATTACAAGGCGAACTGCCAACTCTTGAGCCACGATCACCCTAAACAACAATAATAATTATTATTATTTGATGTAAAAACAGTTTATAAGAATCATTTTATATATTTTTCTATAGCATTACATTTGAATTTAACAGTTCAATCTTCAAATAACGGACAACTAGTTGTGAGATTATGATACATTTGTGAATGTATTTTAAATAATATCAAATCTAGCATCCCTTAGATCATTTACTCAAGTGTATAGTTAGTGTGTAAAAATAGAAAAGATCAAAGTGACAATACATGCAATTACTTTATTGGTAATCAGTCCTGTCTTCTCTGCAGTATAATCCTGCACACACGCATCGGTAGGTTGTGTTTTCATTAATTCACTCTGAAATAACACAGCAATGCCCTTCCGCGGGTAAGCTGACACTGTGATGTACTTTTTAAGACGAAGCTGCATATGTTCCCTGTGTGTGTGCGTGTGTATGTGTGTGTGTTTCACCATCTATGAGGTGCTAATGAGGCTTTACATTGTCGTGTCTTTTTAAGCACCCCTGTAACTTCCTGCAACATAAAAACAACAACAACAACAACAAAAAGCTATTAAACAAACCGTCTGAAAAGGTAAAGGACAAGAGCCGCCTTCTTCTTCTTCTCCTTTTTTTTAAAATGGTGTCACATGTGTATTACATGCAGTGTGTCTGTGTGTGCGCACATCTATGAGACAGACTAACAAAGTGTCAATCACTGGGTACCGGATATGATGTGTGAGCGCTAAATGTCTGTTGCCATGGCAACAAAGCAAACATCACACTGATGTAGTTTGTACATAACACAGAATATTCACAAATAGAAAAGGCAGTCCCCCCCTTTTTCTGTGTGTGTGTGTGTGTGTGTGTGTGTGTGTGTGTGTGTGTGTGTGTGTGTGTGTGTGTGTGTGTGTGGCACGTGTGCTTGTGTCCCTTTTCTCTGAGAGAAGAAGAACTTCAGCAGGCTCACATGTTTTTACTCTCTAACGTGTTACTAACGGCTCCTTCTTTCTTACATCTCGGGCATCTTTAGTCAACATTCTCAGAAAATGGAAACAATCTAGGATAACTGGAGGGGGTTTCCTTTAATTCAGGCGTGTAAAACTCATTTTATTTTATGGGCCACAT